TCCCATAAAGAAGAAAAGAAAAGAAAAATAATGAAGTAATAAAATAGTAGATGAAGATTTAACAATGTATGTTTTAGTCTCAAGTACAGTGTTTTAGTTTCCTTAAGGCTATTGCAACAAAGTACCACAAATTAGGCGTCAAAACAACAGAAATTTGCTGTCATGTAGTTCTGAGGATGAGACATCAGAAATCAAAGTCAGAGAAGGATGTTAGGATGTTGTCTTGCCTGGGACAGCTTCTTGTAGACTCTGTAGTTCTTTGGATTAGGACAAATCCTCTCCATGTCTTCACACTCAAAATTTCCCTCTTTTTTTTAAAAATTTTTCATTTTGGGTCACACTCAGCGTTGCACAGGGGTTACTCCTGGCTCTGCACTCAGGAATTACTCCTGGAAGTGCTCAAGGAACCATATGGGATGCTGGGAACAGAACCCTGGTTGACCGCATGCAAGGCAAAAGCCCTACCTGCTTTGCTATCACTTCAGTTCTCAAAATTTCCCTCTTGATAAGGACAATAGCCTTAATTAAATCATAGTATGTTAAAAGATGTTTCACACTAAAATTTAGCATGTATCCTAAAAAGTGATAGAGTTACTATTATCGCCATTTCACTGATAAAACTCCGCAGGTCCTTGCAAATTAAGTAGATTGCTCAAGTTTTCACAATAAGTGGGTTGTGTATCTTTTTGTATATGTGATTTCAAAATGTTTTTAATCACAACTCTATATTATTTTATATTTATTTACATCAACAGGATTATGAATAGGTAGCCTCAGGTCAGAGGCCTAGATAGAATTGAACTAAAAATAGAATGCAGTAATTTAGATTCTCAGGTCAGACCTGTGCACAATAATAGTCTATGCCCTCTGTTTTTCAGTTTGCAAAGAACTATTACAATAGACATCTAAAAAGGGCTCATGCTTAATGAAGTTGATTAATTTTTTAAGTAGATAACAGTCACCATAAATATAATTTACTTAAATTTCTAGTCAGTTTCGATAAAATGCACATCAAAGGCTAATCCAGGAGGTTAATGCATAGAGAGTTGTGGAGAAAACAGTCAGTTAGATAAACATTTAACAATGGTACAGGAATGGAGGGCATAAGCTCTCTAGAAAGTGGCCTTGGGTCAGATCAAAAAGATTAATCAATGTTAAGCTTAATCTAACTCATGACACAGTTATCTGGAAATGTTAAAAATCTGCTTATTTTTAAAGAAACAAAGCATTATATATTTTTTTGAGAATAAGAAACATGTCTTCTAAGAAACTTTAGAGAGAATTTTTAAAATTAATTAATTAGTTTAGTTTCGGGGAACCACTCCTGGCATTTCTCAGGAATACTCCTTGTTCTTCAGTTGAAATTACTTCTGGCCTTCGTCTGAGGAACTATGGGATGTCAGAGATCGAACATAGGTTGCCCTCACGCAAGGCAACTACCCTATTTACTCTGCTATCTCTCTAGCCCTGTTATGTAGATAGAATATTTTGATCTCTTGTTTTTAAACAGGGGAGCTGAGAATAAAATGAATTGAGTAATATGATTGAGAGTCTTCAGTTATTAACTTATAAATTTTTAAAGCAGAATTTAAAAAATTAGGTTAGTTAACTCCAGGATGCCTATTTCAAACCATAATGCTATATCAATTTCACATATTATATTTTCTTAGAGGTATCATAATTTCCTATTGATGACTAGAAATGCTTGTAGAACTGATCACCCTCTAGATATGCTAATGTGACCCTTCACAGAAATACCTGCTACTTGATATTTTTTTAAAGTTCTCAATAAGGAAAAATAAATGAAGGAGAAATCTAGAAAACACCTCTTGGGGATTATTAGAAAATATGACGGAAAGAAAATCAAATGTATGTGAAAAAACTTTTCGAACCGTCTCTTTAACAGTTAGAATTCTCAAGAACTGGCTTCAAATCCTGATGTTTTGTTTAGACTATATATTTATTGGAACAGAGTCTTGTTTTTTCCATACCTCTGTTTTTGTACTTTAAAGTGTAGCATATGATTCAGATGATCAAATCTAAGTGACATAGTTTCTCTAAAGTTCTAGAATTCTGTGGTTATTGCTATGAAAAGGGAAGAGAAAGAAATAAATTATTAGGTTATTATCAAAACATGTTCATTTGGTTCTTTAGTTTTAATAACATAAATATTTATTTCTGATGAGTTGTCCAGACTTCAGACCTTCAGAAATAGGTGAAAATAGGTGACTGGAGCTTTTCTTCCCTTTTGGAGGTCCTGTATTTTTTCTTAATGTGCATATAGTTTCCACAAAAGAACATTTCTAGCTGAACGAATAACTAGAGAGAGAGAGAAGAAAAGTGCCTGCCACACAGCCATCAAGGCAGGCTTGGCAGGGGTGGGAGGTGGTGGGGCAGCTGGTGACATGTGGTAAACAGGAAACTGGAGTCATTGGTGGTGAGAAATAGACACTGATAGAGGGATGGGTGTTGGATTATTATATGACTAAAACCTGATCATGAACAACTTTGTAACTGTGTATCTCATGGTGACTCAATTAAAAAAAATTAAAATTAGAAAGAAGAAAGAAAAGTAGCAGGGAAAAAAAAACGGTCTTTGGTCTTGCCATTCATGGCAGAATTAAATGTTTGTTTCTGAACATAAAAAGGTAAAGGTAAAGGCCCTCCCGTTGATCGTCGATTTTGCTCGAGCGGGCCCAGTAACGTCTCCATTGGAGACTTTGTTGTTACTGTGTCTGGCATATCGAATACTCTCGGTAGCAATAAAGGCAATATTTTGAGAGATTGTAGCACTGTAGCACTGTCCTCCGTTGTTCATCAATTTGCTTGAGCAGGCCCAGTAACATCTCTATTGTCAGATATATCGTTACTGTGTTTGACATATTGAATATGTTACAAGTAGCTTGCCAGGCTTTGACGTGCGGGCGAGATACTCTTGGTAGCTTGCTGGGCTCTCCGAGAGGGGCAGAGGAATCAAAACTGGCTCGCCAGTCCACACGCAAGGCAAACACCCTACCGCTGTGCTATGTAAGGGTTAAAAAAAAATCCCCTTTGAATCATGTCTGCCATGGAGGCAGGGGGAGGGTGGGAAAGGTAGGGTATACCAGGGATTTTGGTGGTTGGGAGTGTGCACCGGTTGAGGGATGGGTTTTTGATCATTGTGTGATTGTAACCTAAACATGAAAGCTTGTAACTATCTCACGGTGATTCAACAAAATTTAAAAAAAAAAAAACAAAAAACGCAAATTCTGACCCAACAACTTCAGGGTAGAACAACAACAAAAAATCCCCTTTGCTTTTTCTTTATTTTTTAAGTAAAATGGTTTTTTTTTTATTAGTCTGACAGAAGGAAATTACATACCACAAACTGATACATGGGCTATTCTGAAGTAGAATGCATTCCTTTTCAATTTTCCTATGTGGTCCAGCATTCAGACATTACTTAGCCATGAAATATCCAATTATGGGGAGAAAGCATTATAAGTTTAGGCATAACTAATAACTAGAAATATTTTCATTTAAATTTTGTTTGTGGTTTTGGGTCACACCTAGAGATGCTCAAGTATTACTCCTGGTTCTGCACTCAGCATTTACTCCTAATAGTGCTCAAGGGACCACATGGGATGCAAGAAATCACACCTGGATTAGCCACATGCAAAGTAAGGGCCTTACGTGCTGTACTCTCTCTCCATTCCCAGAAAATTTCTTTTGTGCCTCTCTTACAATCCATCATTATTATTTTTTTATTAATGGTACAAAGAATCTATGATAGATATGTATATATAAATATTAAATGGAATATTAATCGAATAATACTATTCTGCTTTTAAAGAATATAAAATCATACCTCTTGAAACAAACGAACTTGAACTAATTGTTATGCAAGAATATTTAAGAATTAATTAAGGAATAAAGTAGAGAAAAATTAGTAGGTGCTTTCACTCCTGTGTAGAAATTTAAATAAAGAAAATTAAGTGGCAAAAGTATTTTTGCCACTTAATTTTCTTTATGGCTGTCCTCACTGGGGACCCTTGGAGGGGAGCGGGTTGAGTTTCCCTCCCTTCCCTGAGCAGAGCTCCAGCAGCCGAAGACCTCCAGAATCATTGATACTTATTTTTTTTTATTATCTCATTCCTACTTTGGACAACCTGGCAGGCTACCGAATGCAACCTGCCCACACGGCAGAGTCTGGCAAACTCCCCGTGGCATACCCAATATGCCAAATACCAGTAACAGTGATGGGTCTTATTCTCCTAACCCTGAAAGAGCCTTGAATATGGCACTTTTTAAAAAATCTCAGGGCTAGGATGAAGGAGACGTTACTGGGGCCTGCTCGAGACAATCGACGAACAACAGGATGGTCGTGATCATGATCGTGAAGTGGCAAAAACAAAAACAATCAAACAAACCAACACCTGACCCTCAATCTCTTTGAAAACCCTGGTGGTTACCAGAGGAACACAAACTGGAAGGAAAGGCACGTAGAAGGTTCTATCTGGTGAAGTGCCAATGAGATTTTGGATGGGTGCTACAGATCCTAATATCCATATAGTTTTTAAGTTCTACTCTTACAATCTTATATGAGTTTGTAAAATAATGATACATCAATTTAAAAGGGGAGAAAATCAAGTAACATCAAAACATATTTTAACTGAAAACTTTAACTTGCATCAGATTTTATCCAGCATTCACCAGCTTCTGGTGATATTATTAGCTCTTTACTTCCACTAATAGGTGCCCAAGAATTGAGTTTTAAGCTCCTTTTGTTTGACTTTTCTAATTCAATTGAGCAGATTTTTCAAAAAGTTCACTTATGAAGTGACTTCCTGGTTTAAACTCATTGAAATTTATCCTGTGAGGTCTAGGGTATCAGAAGGTAAGATTTCCTGGATTGACTTGACATAGCAACAAAGCAATTCTCATCCCTACTTCTGCCAGATCACGCTTGCTTGTGGCAAAGTGAGCCCACATTCTCACTGAGTTAAAAACCTTAAATTTCTCTGCTATCTTCGGCAGCACATATACTAAAATTGGAGCAAGGCACAGAAAATTATCATGGCTCCTTGCAAAGAAGACATGCAATTTCTTGATGCCTTTCATATTCTTTTGTACACCGTTGAAGGGTCCAGTGCTGGAACATTGTATGACAAACCAATCAAGAAAAACTTTGTAACTGTATCCCACTGTGATTCGATTTTTAAAAAAATCTTATATTTCTTTTGTGAGAGGGGTTAGTGGACTTCCCAGGCATTGCTCAAGAGGTTCAGGGTTTCCACTACCAACTCTCTGCCAACTACGCCTGCTATTTAATGCCAGGGCTGGTAGATTTAGTGTTCTGCATGGCCAGGGGATACTGGCACTATCCTGGCAAGTTCTGGATTATTTCATGGCAAAACTTCACCAGATACATGTTAAGGAGGAGCTGCAACTTTTCTGTTTCAAAGACCAATTTTTTTTTTGCTTTTTTGGGTCACAGCCACTGATGAAAATGGGTTACTCCTGGCTCTGCACTCAGGAATTACTCCTAGCAGTGCTCTCCCCAGAGATTTTTTTTGGGGGGATGCTCAGAATGAATCTGGGTAGGCTGTGTGCTAGGCAAACACCCTACCTGGTGTGCTACCACTCCAGCCCCTCTTTTTTTTTCTTTTTTAAGTCAAATATCTCTTGGTGTAGACAACCATGTCTTTACAACAGCAAGCTTGGGGAAATATCTGTAAAGTTAAACTTACCTACCGGTGCAGAACTTTTAAACTTTTAAAGTAATTTTAAAGAACTTTTAAAGTACTCCCCCCTTTCTCTCACTTCCCAAATACTTTTAGAATTTGAGCAGTGCTCACTTTATTCCTAAAGTCAAAGAATAGGGTAGTCTAAGAACAGAAATAAATGTCACCACATTAACTATATACAAATCAGATTTAAGAGTTACTCCTCAATTTTCTCATTGTAGGTGTATAGAAGGGGTGCAGCTAGTTCCATCAATAATTCTTTGGATCTCCCTTTATCCTCTAATGATAAGAGTTATTTTGTGTATCCCTTTTTGTTCTTCTCACACTTAATTAATGTGATTGTGGTGAATAAATTGTTGGTTGCAGTTAATGGCAAGAACACGTAGCACATGTGTTATGTGTGTGTTTTAAAATAAAGAAAATGAGTCCAAAAAAGTGAAACAGATGATAGGAACATAGAGATAGTACATTGGGTAAGGCCCTTGCTTTTTTTCATGTGGCCAACCTACATTTAATTTCTGGCATCACAAAAGGTTCCTCAAGCAGTGCCAGGAGCAATTACTGAGTACAGTGCCAGAGTAACCCCTGAGCATTGCTGGGTACGGCCCCCAAAACAAAACAAACAAACAAAATAAGAAGTGATATGATATGTCAAGGTCACACATTTTTTTATTTAAAAAATAAAATAAGACATGTATCCAATCTATCCCATTAATTGCAATTCTACATAGAAAACTTGAATTGTATTTCTGGGACCCAATCCTTTTCTTTCACATACTTGCTATGTACTATTTGAAGAAGCCACTTATGAGTTTTTGCCCCAGATTGATCCTCTGTGAGACGGGGACATTTTTTTAGTGAAAGTTTCTGCGTGTTTGAGTGACAACCAAATTAGATTATTTGTGCAAAACATTTAGCACGTAGTGGTCAGTGTTTGATAAATTTTGACTAAGATTTTTTTAAAAACGAGGAAAAACACTAAACACTCTGTCAGTGGATAAATGAATACAACATGTGGAATAGCTTTTGTCCTGAGTTTAGCAAAGCCATCCTGTGCTCCCAAACGATGTGGAAAGCAGCCACATAGGCTTTTGCATGATTTCTTTTAGCCAGCATGCTTGCAAGTAACATTAAAAAAAAAGTGCTGTCCAAGCTGTTAGCTGGAATTGAAAGATACAGTGATGGTTAGAGGGCCCATTTAGTAAGAGCAGAAAAATGCACTGGGAGTGAATCATTTGTCTGGACACAGAAGGCTGAGTCAGGGATAATGGGCTGTCACGTAGGCAACTTGGGCTCAAGCCAAGAACACTGGGCAATGATTGCTCTGAGGAACAATTTCAAACCAGGGCTTAATACTGTACCCCTGCCCTCTCTCCACTCCCTAGTTCACGGGTCTTAAATTGTTGCCTCAGTTAAAACTCCAGGGAAGGGATCACAGACTGGCAGAAGGAGAAACTCATTTTGCTGTCCATTTAATTACTAATGTCAGTAGGTTTCCTGTCCAACAAGCTCCGTGTGATAGGGAAAAATATCAATTCAATATGAGAAACAATATGCCAAAAGTTATGACTCTTTAATGACAGAGGATCCAATTTTAGGAAGTTGTGAGTTTTCTAAAGCTAAAGGAGTTCATCGATGCATTGTATAAGTGTTCAAGACAGGCTATCTTGCAAATTTTCTCATTGAAGAGAAACCTTATTCTGAAGATTTTCAATCCAAGTACTCCATAATTTTACATTTTGTATTGAAATTATAGTTATTAATTTTTAATAGTTTAGTTTTACTGGACAAAAATACAGATGGTGCCTGAAGTCAAGGTAAAAAAATAGCATAATTAATGCATAATTTATTTTATTTTTAAGTACTGATATGAAGGTATCTATAGCTTAGTATTAGGTAGGCTAGCAAGTTGCATTAAGCATAGCCATTGTTCTCAGATATTATAGAAAGGGTGGGGGAGTGTTTATATATTACTGAAAAAATATAATTTGACAGCATTACATTGTATTTCCATCCAAAGGCAAATGTCATTGGTGTAACTATTCCAAGCTCTCTTCTTATCTCCTGAGATAAAACAGTTAACCCAGGCAGGTCAAGAACTGTTTCTATGAGATATACATTATATATATTTATGTACATATAAATATATTCATTTATAAATCTATATTCATTTATATATTATTAGAAATATACTTATATAGTAGAAATTTTTATATATTAATATATAAGGATATATGTACATATATATTTTTAACTTGGAAGTCCAGAAATAGAAATAGAAAACATTTTCACTTTAAGCCCATATAGTCGTCAAAAAAAGGACTCAGATGGTGTCTTTAAGAAAATGAGAGTTATCAGGGCCAGAGCAATAGTATAGCAGGTAGAACATTTGCCTTGCATGCGGCCAACCCAGGTTAGATCCTCGGCATCCCTTGTAGTCCCTCAAGCACCACCAGGAGTAATTCATGAGTGCAGATCCAGGAACAACCCCTGAGCATCGATGGGTATGACCCAAAAAGGAAAAAAAAGAAGAAAATGAGAGTTATCTATGCAAGGTGAGGAAAGGGGCAAAGATAGACAACGGCTCAGGTGGTTAATCAGAGTGGATATTACAAAACTATGTTAAAGATTTTGAATGTTATATTGATATTTAAGGAGAACCACTGATCAGTCTTCAGAAAAGAGATATCACCTAGTTTGATGTTTGCAAAGATTTTGAGTGCATAAAAGTAGAATAAAAGATTTTTTAAAGCAAGTTTGTAAAATGTTCTAGGTGATACGGTATTATAACTTTTTTTTTTAATTTTTTAAAAAAATTTTTTAAAAGAAGCCAATTTATTTTTTTTCTTTTTTTGGGTCACACCCAGCAATGCTCAGGGGTTACTCCTGGCTTTGCACTCAGGAATTATTCCTGGCGGTGCTTGGGGGACCATATGGGATGCCGAGGATCAAACCCAGGTCATCCACGTACAAGGCAAATGCCCTACCCGCTGTGCTATCGCTCCAGTCCTGGTATTATAACTTTGAAGCTAAGACAAGAGTGTTGAATTTACTGATTATTTTTTAGCCCTAACTCCTCTCTTATGTGTGGTCTTGGATGGAATTTTACTGAATTTACTAATTCCATTTCTCCTTGTCCAGAAGATGTATGCAACAGAAGTACCTAAACTAAGAGATTAACAAATCAAATGCTACAAGGCATGTCATATGTTGAGTATCATGCCTTGCATATGCATATTACTATTGTGAGTAATGATGAACTAAGTATTAATTGAAAATTAGATATATATTTGCATAGTTTCAGAAATAATTACTGATTTCAAACCAGGACTTAATACTGAAAATAGATATAGAACTTAATACAGAAAATTATATTCATATATGTATGTGTGCATAATTATAGAGATACTTCAGAAAATGGATTTTAATTGACTGCCTGGAGAAAGGCAGACTTAGATGCGTCATTGGTATTAATTAACCAGTATAATGTTCTCTCTCTTTTTCATACACTCAAACACTTATGAATCCAGGTAAACAAAATTAAAAGATGCTTCATATGTAAACTACTCTGATTATAAATAAGGTGCATTTTTCTTTTCTCTTTCAATTGATTATCATTGATTTATAATACTAGGGCATTGTACGGATATAGCATAAGACCCTAAAAGTGTACAGAACTCACTACACTAACCACCAAAGCTACAATGTCATTTGCAGTACCAAAACTTCCCTCAATCCTTTATTTTTATTCTCCTTTACCCCTCTGATAACCAGCAAAATGTCACCCAATATAGGAGTTAATTTTGTTGTTTGATGCCAATTACTATGCTTGAGTTAATTATATTCCAGTTATTGTCCATAAATTTCTTATTTAATTCATTTAAAACAATCACCTAATCTTCTATACATTTTCCCCAAAAGTCATAATTCATCTTTCTAATAGCAGAGAAATATTCTATTGAGCACATGAAGAGCTATCTCTTTATTCAGACATGTGGGTGAGCTTTTAGGTGGATTCCATGTTTGCACAATTGTGGATAATGTTGCTGGAAATATTAGTGTTCAGCTGTATTTTTACATTAACATTTTTAGGTACTTCAGATAAAATTGTAAAGTAAAGGCCCTCCCGTTGATCGTCGATTTGCTCGAGCGGGCCCAGTAACGTCTCCATTGGAGACTTTGTTGTTACTGTGTCTGGCATATCGAATACTCTCGGTAGCTTGCCGGGCTCTCCGAGAGGGGCGGAGGAATCGAACTCGGGTCGGCCATGTTGGCCGCTTGTAAGGCGAACGCCCTACCGCTGTGCTATTATTCCAGCCCAGATAAAATAAGATGCTTTTAAAGACATAACAAAGAAAGAGACAAGAAAGAAGGGCACTG